ATAAAAACAACGCCGGACAATTACATGCACAGTACATACAAAAAGAAAAAAGTATCTCCCGGTTCAAAATCATATAGTAAAAATATAAAAAATGAAAATTTTCAAGCTATATAAATATTCATATTTTTTCTAGTAATTATTTCTAAATCTCATATCAATAATTTATAAAAAGTCTAATAGCTAACCTGCGAATAAATCCTAAAAAGCTTTAGCTGACGCGACGAGCCGGCCGGGCATAAATTACTAATATAACCAACAACTCGGTCTACAATCGTTCTCAACTCATTTTGCGCGATCCAGGGGTTTTCTTCTAAGCCTTGGTGGACAACGGAGGTGGCATTTATATGGCGTTCTTCGGCAATAATCAAAAAATTGTGGATTTTAGTTTGTAAATCGGCAGACATATTGATTAGTCGAGTTCAAAGAAACTGTAGATAAAAAGAAGCGACGAACAAATATAACGTAGATATACTGCCCTTTTAGCAGAGCTAGTACAAAGTGCTAAAACGTTCTCCTCCGCCCATTTCTGGTCTTGTTCAGGTTGAGAATAATAGATTTGGGGACTGTGGAGTGGAGCGATGCACGGCGAAAAACTTTTTCAAAAAGAAAATGCATATGCCACGAGTTAGTGAATCAGATTTGTATATGGTATTGCAATGCATAACGAAAAAAAACTTTCCACAAAGAAAATGCATAAACCACAAGTTATATTGTATGGCAAACGTAACGATCAGCAGGTCATACGATTACATCATGGCATGACCTTCTAATTTATTCCGTGGTAATACAAATGTTCGATCACGGGTTTTACCCACCAATCATGCGGATACACTCAGTTACGAAATACGCAATAAATAATAGATGGTATTGGTTCTTTTGTATTTTCATTAATCAAGATAATAAAATCAGCTATTAATAGCGAAGCTAGTGACAAGAAATATATTATCTCTCTAACTCTACTAATCCAGCAGTTTGATACGCAGTATTTTGGTGTTCCGGCCTGAAAAAATCGATTGCGTAACACAGATGTTTCGAACAACATATATCACATGATATAAAACCGTTCCCTTGGGGAACGATCACCCGGAAAAATTTCTGCCGAAAAGTAATGTGATACACGCATTGTGTACCATTCCGCAGTCTACCAATAACATTCTACCAAAAAATCATATATAACTCGAAAATGTCGGCCACTTCAACCCCAGCTTCCGCTTCTAGTAATGTGATCGAAGAAAAGCAGGCTCCCACTTTAGCCGAACTGGTTAGAAAGTATGATACGGAAAAGCTCATCGAATTTTTACGTGGGGAGGAAGACTTGCAACTGGACGAAGACGATTTCAAAATCCTCCGCGATGAGAAGATCACCGGACGAGATTTCCTCAAGGCAACGAAACAAGATTTCAGAGATTATGGAATGAAGGGTGGACCCGCGTCGAGACTTGTGGACTTTGCCAAAGAGGTCAAGGAGAAAAAATTGAGAGCATTTTCGTCATACCACAGTCTGAGAGAAGTGTTATTAAACTATGGCCTCGATAGTGATGGTATTGAATCCATCCCGCTATTCACACTCCCGACCTATGAGATTCAAGACAATGATAAGCATTTTACACATTGCATGGCTGAGATCTTAGTCCGGCTGAGAGATTACGGGTCATTACTCGTCGATAGTTTAGAAAGCATGCAAAACGAATACGTTGTGGCATTACTCCACTCTGCCCTCCACATCGTACGGGACGACACTCAAAAAGAAGTTTAGTATGAGACCGCAATATGAAATTACGGGAGAAAAAAGTACAGGCCGAGTCGATTACGCAATCAAGGTATATTTTTTCGTATGGTTAACATGTAAAAGCCAAATAATTTCTCATATTCATTTCCACGCTGATAATAGGAAACCGAAGATTTGATTTGTATCACAGAGGATAAACAGCACAAAGTCCCTATGGGATATGCTCAGAATATTGCCCAACTCGAAAGCTCATTCGAGACGAACAAGAAAAAACGAAAAGCGAGTGAGGCATTTGATGATGATGACTTTGATTACCTATATGGTATTGTCACAACAGGTAAATATTGAATCTTTAGTCATATTTTTTAATGATTACATTGCTCAGAATTCTTTATAAATTCTAGGAAGGGATTGGCACTTTCTCTTATATAGTCCTATTCTTTATAAATTCTAGGAAGGGATTGGCACTTTCTCTTATATAGTCCTAACCAAATTTCGCAAGGCAGTAAGTTGCCATATACCATCGAATTCACCGAAGATGCTTTGAAAGAGGAATCCGAAGAACATCTCGCTTTGCGCAAGAGTGTAAAAAAGGTATTGGGTGTTATCGTGGCTTTGTTAGAGGATCGCGCTTGTGTGGGAAAGTCTCCTACCACTAAGAGAGCTAGGGTTGAGGGGTACCGCGCCAAAAAGATGATGTAATAGTTAGGGGTACTTCGTAATTTATTTTTTAGTTAATAAAGAAATGAATTTTCACACGTGATTTTTTGATTGCTGACGCATTATCAGTTGCTTCATCTTGATTGGGTGATACCACTTACCACGCTTCTTTTTTCGTGAAAGTAAACGCTATTCGTCTTGAGTAGGATATCGGCTCTAGGATTATATAATCCTAACGGCTCGTCGAATAGTGTTGCTTTTGTACGTTTTTGCCTATTAGTTAATACACCACGAACTTTTTTATTCCACGTTTTTTCACCGTCCATTGTGGGAATTAGAGCAAGCAATGGACGCGTTAAATAGTAAACGAAACAAATCTATCCTCTCGAAGGCCTCGAAGCGGAATATGCGAAAAAAGTTAATACGATAACCAAAGAAGGCGAAGATCGAGGAACTCGCCAATATAACAATGGTCAAAGAATCCACCACTAATTTCGACACCGCTCACAACGAAAAAACTGGTATAGACCATGGATTTCACGTGTAAAATAAAAATGCTGTACATCATGTGAGATTATTATCTAACGCACATGACAAATCCAATTTTTTATTATAATAAATCGTGCACGAGAGATGCTGACGAAAATTAAGAGAAAAACCGAAAAAGACCTTACAAAAAATATGATAACTGCTTTTTCATCTACTACAAAAGAGATTGACGAATTTTCATTAACGCTGTGAGCACTGTCCGTCTCCCATCAGGTTCTGCGAGATTGAAACCAGTTCTCAGCCCATTTGCTCTCGGCCACCGCTCTATCATGATTGATTGTTGTTGTGGCAAACCGATAAGAAGCTCCTCCAAATACGTCGTAGGAATTACAGCTTTATAAAACGTAACATATATAGAAATCACACGGACTGCATATATGGTTTGATCTTTCCAATCTTGCTTGTCAACGAAACGTGTATTCTCATTTCCACAGGCGAGCATCTCCAAGGCGATTTGTGATTCCCCATAATCAGTGTTTGCCTTGATATTTTTCAGGTGTTTGTCCTGTTAAAAAGTTGTTGAGTCGACAAATATGAGAACTTTTCAAGCACTCAACAACATACAGACCTCTACTCCGATAAAAATCGAGTTTCTATGCTTAACTACGAATTCAGGGACTGATGACACGCAAGGCTCTTCTTCAATGTATAGTTTGTATGGTGGGTGATTCCTGGATTTTAGAATGCAAACTTTAAAATGACTGGAGTGCACCACAATAAAAGACTCAATGCTTACACACCTGATCTTTAAGGGCCAGTCATTCAGCTCGACGATACGAAGTAGATCGTCCACTAATGTGTCAGTAAAAGTTTCGTCCGTGCCTGCCACTTGAAAACCATTGAATACGACGTCATGCAATTTGTCAACAAACGATTGAACCTTAGGATCCGAGATGCATCCAAATTCGTGAACATTGAAGCTTGGATTTCCAAGTATTTTACCATTGATGTGAGGAAGAACATACTGCTCCGGAAAGTGGGTGACTGGGAATATATTTTAAATTATAAGTATTATTTGTTGAGAGAATCGTTGATACTACGTAAGTTCGCACCTTCAACTGGAGGAATGACAGCGTCCTCGTTTAAAGCCGGTGCAAAGCTCACTTTCAGTGGGTCAATATCTCGTATTTTAAACTTAAACGCGGAGGGAGGGAGGTTGAAAGTAGATAGGGAAAAGACTCTTGGCCGGAGAGTACGTGAGGCAGGACGAAAATTTTTCGTAAAGAGACCGAGCAACGAGGACATTCTTGAACAAAAAAAATACGCTTGCGTTGTAAAAAAGATCGTGATAAAAAAAAAGCGTGAGAACTAATCTGTATATGCATGTCTGCGAATCGATTTTGGATTAGCGCTCGTGCCCACGCATGGATCATTTTTTCTGTTCGATCGCCAGTTAACTGAACATGTGTGTCGCACATCTGATTCTCGTTTCATGCTACGATAAATCGACGCGATCTTTTCGTCACAAATTTAAATAAATCTGCAAATATATAAAACACATAATATCAAACATGTCTTCCGAACTAGATTTACTCAGACAAGAAAATGCAAAACTTATGGGTGAGAACGCTTCGCTCTTGGCTAAGAAAGCAGGATTTATGGCCAGAATTGTGGAGTTAGAACAGACCGCCAAAGAAAATGGCAAGCTTAAGACCAGAGTCGCGAAATTGGAACAGACTGCAGAGGAAAATGCTCAGCTTAAGGCTAGAGTCGCAAAATTGAAACAGAAGCAGTTACAAAATGATATTTCTTCCAATACTGGTTCATCAAACTCTAACCCCATATCATCAGAAGATAAGGAGGTCAATGAATTCCTGGGTTCGAAGTATAAGAAAAAGGTTAGTAATGAGATAAGGGATAGAAACAGAGAAAAAAGACTTCAGCACGAATCAGCTGGAAACCAAGCCCAAGACTTATCGCAATTTCATGAAATTACATCCAGAGATATGAAGTCACGATCCCAAGTTAATCATAATATAAAAACCATTCTCTCAGGGATCAAAGTCATGTAATTTTAACAGAGTTGCCTTTGTTGCAAACTGAAGTGTCTGAATTAGAACAGGACAATGAAATTGATAAAAACCAAATTGTTGAACAAGGTTTAATACAAGAATTGCATTTACCTACTAAAGAAAATGATAACTCTATCAAAATTAGCAACTCCAGCAATAAATCAGAGAACATGTCTTTGAAGAAATTGATAATTATTTTCTTTGGAAATTCTGCCCAACATTTGTCTCATTTATTTAAAATAGCAATCAAATCAAGACAACAGGAAATCTTAAACTGGTATTATTACTCTTTTGAATTTGAAAATAAGATTTGTAATATTACAGCTGATGGTAATATCAAAGATAAAATGACTAGAATAATAATTTACAAAGAAAATGAAACCTTTTCTTTCTAATATCACACAAGATAACTTGCGCAAAAAAACTTTTAGAGCTAGAAAATTTCTTATGTTATTTAGAAAAGATGAGATTGGAATAGATAAAATTAAGCAAGTCACTTATAATATGAATGAGATTTCAAAACTGACTAATGTTCAGATTCAAAATATTATAAATCAAGTGACTTTAAAAACTATTCCCACAGGAAATAATCAGACTAATATAGAGATAAGTGCTTTATCTAATGTATGAAGTGCACTTTCTCCAAAAGATAATATATTACCAGAAAATAAGATGTATCTTGGCATTAGCTCTGCTATTTCATCTATAGATTACATAAGTATATCATCTAATTCAGCTTATGATTATGATTATTTTTGTAATAAAATATCAGGTTGATATTCTGATATATATAGAGAATTTAGCAATGAAAAATTTGATTATTATGAAATTATTGATAAGTTATTATATTTAGCATGTAAATTAAGTTATAAGAATGAGAAAAGTATAAGAGGTAGATATGAAATCAGATCTTATTTTATTAAATATGAACAACAAGAAATTGAAATAATTGTATAAGTAAATTACATAAATCTGGTCAAGTGGATAATGATATTTTTTTCTTGATAGTTACGTAATTTTGAATTGACTTATATTAATATAAAATAATAATATATCTTTTGATAATATTTTCAGCAAAATATTAACTGATGACTATTGCAAATGACATGTTAATTTAGTTAATATATCAAGTTTTCAGATAGATAAAATTTATTTTAGATTATATAAAGTATATATGAAAGAGACTGAACTTGATCCTTGAATAAAGTCTGAAACTTCTGAATTCTCACAAATCAAAAATACTAATAATTATATTCTATATGACAGTTTGCTAGAAATTCAGATAAGAGTATTATAGGTAAATATTCTACCTATATCACCTAGATGACAATTCCTAATTTCTGTTTTATCAAATAATCTTGAAGAAAGACAATAATATGTTATTAAAATAGTATTAGAGTAATTTCCTTATTTTACTCTAAAATATAGTTTTAAATATAGTAATTACTTTAATTTTAAAAGATTAGTACCCTGCTCTTTATATAATAAAAATCATAAAAAAAATATAAGAAATTATATAGAGAATTTTTGGAATAGTGATGAATATTATAATGAAAAAACTTATTATCTTTATTGTTATATAAATAAATATCAAAATTCAATTCTAATAGTAATGATAAAAGTATAGATAGTGATTTTGAATATTAATGTTATTAACTAACTTAATTTGATATTCATTATCATTATATAATTTGATAGTATAATCAATTTTTTTTTGATCATAATTATATATTATTTATCAAATATATAATAAAGTATCCAGTCATACAGAAAATTAAATTATACATCCAAAATAGATTTTGTCTTCCAAAATAGATCATGTAATGATTATTCCAGATATAGAATAATATATTATTAATCTTGATTAATAAATCAACTATCTTTTTATTACTAATTATACATATTTTACAAGACTATCATTTACTTTTATACTGATCTCTGATTTGTGAATTTAGACTTAAAAAGTCATTTCTTTGAAATAAAATACATGATATCACTCCTCTAAGATCTATTATAATGTGATATAATTTCATAATTACAATATAGTTATAATTATTTTCAGATTGAATTTATTATATTTACTTAATTTATATATTTATACATTATTTTTTGTATTAATTATATTACTATATTATAATAATTATAATGAGTAATACTAATAATAAAACTGATTAAAGCAAAATATTTGCTTATTTATATAAGATGCTTTTATATAGGAGGAAGAATATAATAGCAATTTAAGAAAAACTTAATATTAGCTAAAAAATTAGTATAACTAACAATAATACATTAAAGCAAATAGAATATGAGCCCAACAGGAAAATATTTACTAATTCATATAAGTTATTATTATATTTGGTGGGAGATTTAATACTAATACAGAAAAATCTTGATATTGATAGCAATCTCATTCTGATAATGAAATATAATAATATAACAAATTAAAATAATAGAGATTCTTCTGATTTATCATTTTCAAAATTATTTAGTTTACTTTTATACTTGAAAGATAATATAGTGACAATTCAGAAAAAAATTAGTATTCTTGATTATAGTAATCAAGAAATAGTAGAAGAAGCCAATAAAAATACAAGAGTATATCTTTGAAAGTTTGAAGAATTTCATAATTTCTTAGAAAATATTCCAAGTATATTAATACAGAAATTCATTGATAAGAGAGTAAAAATATTTTATTTTACTGAAAAGGATATGTGATCAAGTATATTTGAATATATGCTTAATAATATATGTTAAGATAGATATTGGAGTAGCTAACTTTGATAATATATTATAATAATTATGGAAGATAACTATTTTTTTTATAGTATGTGATTAGGATATATGGTCATGATAGCTAACTTTAGAAATATTATATAAGAAAAATGAAGAAGAATACTTATTTAATGATATATTTCTGGATATATTTTTGGATATGTGATTATAATAGCCAACTTCAGTAATATATTATAAGAAAAATAAAGATAACTACCTATTTAACAATATGATTCTGGATATATTTTCAGGTATGTAATCATGATAGCTAATTTTGATAATATTATATAATAAATATAGAAGAAGATTACTCATTTAATAATATATTTTCAGATAGAAAGTTTAAATTAATTTTTTCAATTGGTATATAGTGATATTAAAAAAAATATATCAAGCTGATTTATTATATGGAAGATTATCTCATTTTGATTAGTATGATTAGATATGCTTTTGAAATAGATAAAATAAAGTAATCTTCAGAAATATATTATATATAAAATAGAAGAATATTTCATTCAATATGATATGTGCTTAATGATATGTTTTCAGATATATAATTAATAATATATTTTTAGGTAGATCAAGGTAAAGTAATTTTTGGTAATATTATATAATAAATATGGAAGAATACTTTACTTTTTAATGACATATTTTTGGATAGGTCAAGATAAAGTAATCTTCAGTAATATTATATAATAAATATAGAAGAGCACTTCACTTTTTAATGATATATTTTTGATATATTTTGGATATATGTCATGATAGAAAACTTCAGATTTATTCATAATAAAAAATAATATTATATATCCACCTTCTTATGTGTTAAAGATACTAGCTCTACTATATATAACATATTTAATAGTATATTAGTTCACATAACCAGATAGCAAATCCTGATAATATTTACATGATAATATGATTAGATAGCATAGCTGATAGTAATTATATAATAATATAACCAGATAGTATAACCAAATAGTGTATATATAACATTTATAATAGCAATTGAATAGTATTAATTGATAGTAATTATATATTATAGGTAAGTATACATATTTGATAGCATATACTAATAGCATGTATATAGCATATCCAGATATTATTACTTGATAGCATATTCAATAATAATAAATAATAGTATACCTATTAGTATTAATTGATAGTATAATTAGTTATTATGTATATGATATAATCAGATAGTATATATATAATATATATAATAATAATTAGATAGTATTAATTGATAGCAATTATATAACATAAATTTGATAGTATTTTCTAATAGTATTTATAATATATATATTAATAGTAATTACATATATATATTTGATAGTATTAGTTCTTATATTAGACTTATAATAATAATATATAATTAGATATATAATCAGATATATTTTTTATTTATGTGACTTAATGATAGAAATTGGTCATAGTTATCAAACTGGTATATATTAAGTAATG